AAAAAAGCACAACAAATATTCATTTTATAGTTTTTTAGTTTAAATTAAAAAATTTGGAATACTCAAAATTTTTCCATTAGTGCATTCACAGTGCTTCGGGTTTAATCACAAAAAATTGTATGTCACATAAAAAATAGACATAGTCTAAAAAATTGTATTCTTCAATGCAAACAAAAGTAGATTGGGTCATGCTGGGTCTCTTAGAAAAATCACATGCCAGTTAAGAAATAGACCTCATTTATAAAAAAGTGTTTCACAATGCAATTAAAAAGTAGACCTAGTCTAGCTTATGTGCCAATAAAAAAAAGAGACCAAGTCCACATTTGGGTCTATTTTGGACCCAAGTACAAACCAAAACACTCATTATTTATTCCTAATTTAATTTTTCTTTTAATAAAGGAAAAATATTAGAGCATTTTTATTGGTTGGCATGTATGCTAGACCTAGTATTTTAGTTTTGAATTGAATAGCTTTTAAGTTTTTTTTTACTTAGGTTTGTCCATGTCATTTAGGATTTAAGTCTATTTATATGCCACATATGTAAAATTAGACCCAATGACTTTGTATATTTGCATTAGTGTGAATTTTATTGATTTTACATACATTTATCCATGTCATCCAAGACTTGAGTTTATCTATATCATTTTTTATAAAAAAAAATATATACTTTCGTTACAAATTGTAATACATTAAAAAATATCAAAAAACAAAAGTATAGGTAAGTATGACATTGAACATTATAAAGTCTCTTTTACTTCATGGGATGAGATTGGGTAAATTTATCCCACTCACTTTACACCTCACATTTATCTAATGTTTTACAAAACATGATGTATTTTAATTTTTAAGACAAAAATAATCAAATATTACTAATCTGGACAAAATGATATGAGAAATAGCACAAGATAAATATACTCTCATCTCCTACACAAAAAGCATAAAATTTTTCTCCCTATTTTCGACCCTAAAGATAAATTAAAAATATATTTTAAATATTAATAATTTTTAAATTTATTATAAAGTTTTTATATGTTATATATCAGATTAATATTTTCATGATGAGCTTAGATTTGACATCTATATTGTACATACAAAATAAAAATTATACATTATTTATAACAGAAATTAGATAATCTATCATATTATTTGTAAAAAATAAAATTACTTAAATCAATATTTTTTATAAAATATTACTATATTAAATAATATTATTTTATTTTATATTAATATTTTTTAAATTAAATAAGATAATTTAAATTAATATTTTTAAATTAAATAATATTATCTAAAAAATTAAATTAAATTACTGAAATCTCACTTTTATAAGTTTGACGGTGATATGGATTCAATGTTTTTAAAAATTTGATGGTACACATATCGATATTCATATTTATAGTAAATACATTTTTATATGAAATGAGTGTTTTGACTTAAAGTACAAGCTCGTTATAACATTTAAAATTGGATACTCCTGAGTAAAATTTCTAGATCCGTCATCGCCTACAACTTCATTATCATGACACATCCCCTTTTCATCCACAAATACTTGCCCTGAGCCATCTGAGAAAGCATTTCCATGACACATTGTGCAAGTAAACAAAGTCTCTACTGCCATGAACCCTATCATACAATTTCTCTCCTTGTGTCTAGCTTAAATTTTGAACTTCTTCTAATTGGTCAAAATAGCCAAATTTATCTCTGTCAAACCCATGTCTTGTAGTCATCTCGTCTCCAACATACACGACACCATGGTCAATCTTTATAAATTGTCCAAAGCGGTGTATGAAACAACTTTGCTAAGAAATCAGATGGTTGGTTCCCTTATGGAACCAACCACCAATGAGACAATGCCATGTATTGTTCACAGCCCCATGTGTCACTGTCCCATTGGTGGTTGGTTCCATAAGGGAACCAACCATCTGGTTTCATAGAAGAATTGGTGTATGAAAACCATCAAGTAATTGCATTTATAACAATGTAATTACTAATTACTAACTTATCTTTTTTAGAGACAAGTATTAAGTACATATAAGCATAATTAAACAAATATATAATCCTAACAATGTCATACTTAAAAATAACCCTAAACCCTAATTATGGACTAATTAAAAGAACCATAATTTTCCGCAACAACAGACAATAAAAATAGTTTTATGTCTTACACGTTCGCCAATTTTGCAGCATTAAGCCGCTAAGGAACCACCGTGAAAAAATCAACTTGCCGGAAATTGTTGAATAAGAAAGATTCGTGGAAAAGTTTGTATGGGGACCGCAAAGAGATTCGAGGAAAAGGGTTTTTTATTTTATGCAATTTTGGCCTTTTAATTTATTCACAAAATAAAGATAAAATGACGTCGTTTTTGTCTAACTAGAAAAAAAAAATAGATGGAAAATACACATCAGTAGGTGAGATGAAATTTCTCCGACCACATAAGCCTTTATAAGCTGGTTTTCAGAACTCATGCATCAAATTGAAGATTGTGATATAATTTGCAAAAGTTAAAAAATCGTCATTTCAGAAAAGACCGTAATATTATAGACAATTTGCCTAAAATAAATAAATTATATAAATTATAAAATCTAGGTTTAATCTATTTAATCCACCCCATTTTATAGACAGGTTCGTATGCAAAATATGTGGAGAACACAATATATTATTATTTAGTGCATGAATTTACCAATAATAATATTATGCTACATTAATATGTTTTGATATAGGTAAACGAAGAGCTGTAATGCCCTAAATTTAAAGGGCGTGCTTGGATACAAAAATTTCCACTCAAAATGGATTTTTTAGTTAACCAAAATTATTGAAAAAATGTGGTATGATTAATTGTTAATGAAATCTTGAATTTATATTAAAATTTTATTTAAAAATAATAATTAAAATTTACTTGATGGAAAAAGTATGAAAGAGATGATGTAAAGTGATAGTTAGTTAAAATATATGAGTGAATGAATAGATAATTAAAGTTGATGTAATGTGTAAGAATAATTAATTAATACTACTTATTTAATTATATTGATAATATTGTGAATAGTGGGAGTGAACTGAATTGAGTGTGAAATGAATAATTTGATATCCACGCCCTAAGCCACTCTATCTCAGCACTCACACGCTCACACTGCCTTGCCCCGTATGCCTTGCCCCGTATCTGTTTCATTTCGCCCCACATTTGCTTGCCAACCTTTCTTTGCAAATTCGGAATTTGTGGATCTGAAGTATGAAAAAATTCGATCCCCCTCACTGAGATTTATATAGCTTGATCACATGTACTCATATGTGATCCAACATAAAATTCAATAGTCGCGGTATCCTTACGAGGTAAGATCTAATTTCCCAGTGAAGTTTACAAGATCCAATGAAACGCTAAAATGTAACACTAAGAGAAGATGTTGCCACATGTCAGCTTGGTACTCTGTTACAGGTTTGAAGGTAGATTCAAGCTACATGTAACTGCAGTTCAGTTATCGAAATTTTTACCGTTGAACCGATACATCCCCATGTAAAAATGTGTGTATGCGTTAATCCAACGGTAAAAAAAATCCAATGACTGCAATGCAATGCGGTCACCAGTAGTCTCGCGAGTTAACCCTGGGCCTGAGATGCATCTATTAAACTCCTTACTTGAGTTAAAGTTCAGATGAGACAAATGTAACAAAAGCATCACACATGATTATTAGCTTTCCCTTGAAATTGGCTTAAGATTCCCTTCTGCTTCTAGCAGCAAAGATTGGCTTCAAATAAAAGAACCAAAAGGGTCAAAAGTATAAGCATTTTATGAGCTTTAGTCACCACTTAATGGTGTTAGAAGGTGCACATGCAACCATGTGTACTTGTGTCTTATCGATGATGTTTTTACATTACTTCTCGGTTTACCGTTTGACAAAGTTCACCTCCATCAGACCAAAATCATGATAAACACATGAAATAAAGAACAATCTAAACTTTTAAAGGAAGGACATAGATTTTAAGGAATAACGTCGTGGAAAAAAGGCAAATGCAAACCTTATATGCATAGAACAATCCATTATCTCCATCCTATTATGGTGAACACACTATTATTTACAACTGAAACATGTCAACAACTTGTAGCAATAAAATCTTTCAAGTAAATAGAAGATCGAGGGTTTTGTGAGTCACCAAACAAAGAGATTGAAGTATGGCTCGTAAAATCACCAAATTTGGGTCAATTCTCAAGTCGGCCTTAAAAATCTGAGTTAAAGTCCACACACAGCAGAGCAGACAAGCGCCTTAATGAGTGCTTATAATTAGTGTCAGGCTCACAAAGCACACAAGCACCTCGGTTGTTTTTACTTATCAGACAGTTTCGAGTATATCTTCCTAAAACTGCAAATACCATTTTCAACGTATATTGTGTTCCTGAACTAAGTACTGATATCAGTATCTTGGAAATATCAGACAAACCCGCTCTTGGATCGACCTACACAGGTTTATATCATACGTAGCAGATGACATATATGCGACCACAAGAGAAGAAGAAAAAAGCTTGAGCATTGAATTGTAGCATGATACGAAAAAAAAAAAAAAA